ACTCTCCGCTTACGCGTTAATAGCGCGAAATATATTGCGCGTTAATTGTCCCAAATTGGCCAAAATAGCAATCTTTAAACCCCAATAACTTTACGAAAACTGATTACAGGTGAAAGGTCTTTTCAAATTTGAGCTCAGGACAACAATAGCTTTCGAAGGATATAAAAAGATTCCGTCAAAAATGGCTAGTTAAAAAGTCGAAATTTGTCTGAAGAAAAAAAAACCCACCCCGAGCACAAATATTCCGTTACTTTCGTATCGAAAGTCGGAACAATAAAATTTTTGGTTCAAGCAGTTCACATACATGTGAGATATTTTGCAAGAAATTTTCACTCTCTGCTATAGCCTAACTAAGATTAAAAGAAGTAATTGTACTTATTAAAAAGAAATAATTGTACGGCAAATCGTATAACTTATTTGGGCAAAACTTAACAAACAATTTTAAAGATCCGGTTACATCGTGTTTACATTTTATTGTAGCTGACTTAAATCCTTTTGATTCAATTTCGTGTGTGTGTGTGTGTGTGTGTGTGTGTGTGTGTGTGTGTGTTTTTGTTTCTTCATAGAGTTGAGATATCTTGCAACCTCTGGGTCACTCCCAGTGGTGGTGAGAAACTCATTTTTCTCTAATTATTGCCTTTTATCGAACATTTTGATTCATTTGTTTTCATAAATCTGAATATGCCAGCAAAACCAAAAGCACCAATAATGCTTTTGCACTAATAACAACAATAAAGAAGAAAACAAAATCAATGAAAAGACTCTACCATGCTCTACTGAGAATTGCCCTGTGATAATTCAAATTCAAATTGTATTTCCAAGTAAATTTGATTTCATCAGAGCCTTTATGCGTGGTTTCTGGACAGCATCAAGACGACCGGGGCCAGCTTCCGCCAGATCGCATATTAACGCTCTATTCGACAAAAAAAGAACCGAAAGAAACCAGAGCTACTTTAGTGATCAAAGTAGGAAACAAACAAAAGCGGCAGAAATTTCATTTTGAAAAAAAAAATCGGCCTCGCGATGTTGAAAAGAGCCAGATTTTTGTGTACAAAAATTTTGGATAAAATCCAAATCGAAATTGAAAGTGACGAAGTTTAACTGATAAGAGCGAGGAAAAGTTCACAAAGACTCAGGGCGTGAAATTCTACCTTTTTAATTTAAGATCGAGTTAGTAAAAAAATAACTGCTACGAAAAGCTCAAAATATGCCTAAATCTTCAAGTTATGACGAAATAAGCATGAACCTTGCAAGTTATGATAAAAGTTATGATGAAATTATCTGCAGGTTACGATGAAATAAGTAAGTACTTACAAGTAAAAACAATTAAGCTAACTGAATAAGTTGATCATTTTTTTACGAACCCAAAAGCGCAAAATCAAGGGAGACAAAAAGATTGTAATATCATTTTAAAAGTTAAGGCTCCCAGGTTTTTTTTTTTCAATTGAGAAAAGATTGAACATTCTAGCTGCCTTTCACCTACAAAGCCCTACTAGGTTTTTTTTTACTTTAAACATTGCTTAACTCTTTTACTATGACGCCTGCTCTTCATTCTTAAATTTGTGTTTGCCGCTTCTATTCTGCTTTTTGATTTCATGGTGTTATTGTAATTGCCTTTCAGGATAAAATTCAATCAAACTTCGAAATATTGCAAAGTTTTTACCAAGGAATCATTTATAAGTGTTCTGGTCGATTCAAATCAAACACCTACTGTACAGTTTTTTTCGACTCTTCATCTTTTACTTTCATTTATTTACATACAATCTTCCCAAGGTGAGCTCTCAGTTCGTAATTTTCTAAGTCTAATAATTACATCTTATTCCGAATTACCTTTTTTTGATCTTCACGAAATTCAATCGGCGCAGGCTTTAGCTCCACTTCGTTTTGCTTAGACACTGTCATCAGTCGTCACTAGGCGAGCAAACTTTTTAGATTTTCTACTGAACGAATATCATTTCATTCAAATCGTTCGCCATGCAACTCTTAGTTAAGGAAACATTTTTGATCTGGCCTTGGTTACTAATGCTGATAACTGGGATTACAATTTTTTAATTGATGAGTTTTCAGACCAATTTTTTGTGCTACTCACTTAAGACAATCGTTCTAAAACACAGAATCCGGAGAAAAACCTATCGAACCAACAATACAAAGAGTAGATAAATTTTCACTCAACCGGTACAACACAACCAAACTTTTTGCAACCTTTTAATGACACAATTTCGACGTCTTTTTTATAGTAATATCACGTAATTTGACAGCGCAGAGCAATTCAAGCTCAAGCAGCATAAAAGGAAAGATAAGAACAATGTGATGAAATTAGTATTAATTTTTTACATGTTCATCATTCAAATATGCTTTAGAAAGCTAGATGTCGCACCAAGAAACTAAATGGAACCGATAGATTAAAAATTGCAACTAAATGTCAGATAGTGCTTTAAGAAAAATTCAAACGCTTAAAATCTTCCTTTTTTTTAAAAGAAAACCGAGCTCTTAAATTCAGCTCCGTGTACATCAAAAACACATTTCGTCGCTTTCTATTTTTAAAAAATGTTACTGTCACATCAAATGAGGTGAGCTATACTTTAGATAATATCAAACAACGTTTTCGTAGGTTACCACAAATATCCATATTTATCTTCAAATGTATTTCGAAGCCGCCGACTTGAAAAACCCGTGTTTGTGTATGCTCTCTTTCAATAGGTTTTGATAACAAGGAAATGACCAAAATTTTGGAAGTGTGCATAAGTCGTTCCCACTCACAAGAAAAAACACAAAAGCAGTATTTAAAAACTACAGTCCCTTTTCCTTGTTGCCAAGATTATCTCTCTTTTTTGAAAAAAAAATTGTTTTAATTTTATTTTTTCAAAGATTAAACACAGGATCAATTCACGTCATCTGGGCTGCGGCAAAAAGCACTCAAATGTCACGCAGTTATCAGCTTTTTCTGACGAAATATAATAAAGTGTAGATTTCAGCTGAACCTTTACCTCAGTGGAGCATTCTGTTTTTTTTGAGAAATTGATTCTTTTTGGTTTGACAATAACTGTTTTGACTTTTTATCATCTTTTTACTTAGTTAACCGCTACAAATGAGTTTTTATTGATGGAAGTCTTTGCCAGTAAATAAAGGTGTGCCCTAATGAAGCAAAATGAGGCCGTTATTAGTCCTGATTTTTATCGATGATACGATTGACCCCATCCCGTTTCGAGTTTTTTTTGTTATGTTGATGAGACAAAACTAGTAGCTCAAGGTGAATCACTCAGCAGCCATCTTCAACATGAAAAAAACGTTACGAATTTGTGATCATTTGACAAATAGCTTACTTTCAATTCCGTCCAACGCTTTCATCTTAACATCAAAAACAGAGCTATGTTGCTTTTCTTGGAACCCAAATAAAACCAATTGTGAATTGGATTGGAAATATCTCGGCAAAAATTTTGAAAAAAGGCGTATTTTTAACTAACTTTGATATTCATTTCTCAAAAACATACTAGCATGTGTGATATTCCTTATTTTGAAATGTGTGTCTTTCAAAACTTTTATATGGTTACTCTGCCCGATTCCCAGGACTGAGAACCTGACAGCCGAGTGAGTGGGTTACAAGCCAAACTGTGAGGTTTTTGAAATATAAGTGGAGTCCACAAAAAGTCAAAATCGGATTTTTTGTTGAGTCCGAAACATTGCTACTTTACTTTGATCTTCTTTGCTGCTTTGAGTATGCGAAATCCGCACTTTGTGAGCGGAATGTGCAAAATGTACGTAGAGTTGTCATTTTGGTTGCAGATTCCGTTTATAAAAAGAGTAGCATTTCAAAAAAAAGTGTTTGCTTACCAGGTGGTCACGCGCAAGTTCAATTTCAATTAAAGTTTTTGATGATTTACCACTTGAAACACTAAACTTTCAATCTCAATTGCTGGCCCCAAAATTCTTTCTCAATCTATCTCAATTCCTGCTAGGTTCGATCGCAAAACCTGCTACATTCGATCTCAACTCATGCCTCATAGCTAACTTTGATCTCAATTCCTGTCACTTCGATCTCATTTGCTAGCAATTCCTTCTATCGCAGTTCATTGCATCTGAATCCACTTCTCACCTCAACTATCTCATCTCAAACTCAAATACTGATAGGATGGTTTCCAAATTTTCCATTTCAATCTCAAAAAAATTGCTCGGTGACAACCGCCATTTTAGATAACGGATGTTTTAAAAGTTTGTTGTGGATTCCGCTGCAAGTTTTTAATCCTTGTTTTTACATTCTGCCCTGCTAGATAAAAGTTTCAGCTATAATTGTTCATATACAACAACTGGCGTAGTTAAGAAAAACAATTGCGCAATCCATTTACAATTTGCAGAACCCACTTACATTTTGGAGCATGTTCAAGTAGTTGTATCTGAAATCCAGCTTCATAGAGACATCAAAACTTGCGCTTATCCTGTGCTCGAAGTGTGATTTCAGTGATTCGATATCTTCAATTGAGCATATAATTTTTGTTAAAAACTATAAAATCTGTCGCCAAATTTGACTGAAAAGAAAAACCCCACAACGCATAAATATTATTTTTTTTGTCGAAAATTGGAAAAACTAGCATGCCTCAACTCAATTTGGAACAATGTCTAAGACGGATTAAATCTCCAGTAACGCGTTAATAGCACGAAATATATTGCGCGTTAATTGACCCAAAATTGCCAAATTAGCAAACTTCAAACCCCAAATCCCCGTAACTTTCTGAAAATTGATCACAGCTTAAATATTTTTGAATATTTTATCTAAAAGTGTGCTCAGGATGGCAATACTGCCGAATGATATAAGAAAATTCCGTCAAAAACTGCGAGTAAAAATTAAAATGTCTCAGTAGAACCACCCCGTGCACAAATATTCAGTTTTTTTTTCTTCGAAAGTGGGAACAGTGTCATATCAAATTAAAAAGCAAGTATTCTTTAACTAAACAGGAAAGATTTCCAATTTTTACAAATATCCTTTTTGTCAGATGTTGACCTACCTATATGGTCATTGTTGTTATCTAACGGGAACCAGTTGATGTGGTCATAAATAGTTTCCGCCAGTAGTTCGAACCTTCTCAATTCACTCATGCGAATGACGTTTCTTCTCTCTCGCGATAAGTCAAATCGGTATCCAATCAGACAGAAGTGAGCGCTGAAATAAACAACTGATCTGACCACTTTCTTAGCATATGAAATAAACGAATAAAATAAACTTAAAGTCAGGCTTGGCCAGGGGTTCAAAATTTATATTGGTCACTTCCTTCCTCATTATATCCGACGCTGGCTGACATGATAATCAAATAGACCCAGTGAACAAATTTTTTCAGTATTTTAAGTATGATGTATTTCTCTTCGATAATGAAAATAAAGACATAAACTCAATGTTTAAATCATAATTCTCAAATAACGATGAGCAAAAACCAGTTCTTATTAGATTAAATTTGTAAGGATAATAATGAAAATCCTTAGAACAAAAAGGATATAATGAAACCTGATAAATGAATCTAATCAACATGGATATCTTCTTTATTTACAAAACCAATCAAAAATTGAGTTAATTAATGGTTATAGTATGAAGATATTGGCATTTCCTACGTTTTAACTTGTGTTCAGTCGGAGAAGTGGGATCGTAAGATCAACGGCAACTCAAAACCAATTTGGCAAAAAGACAGTATTTTCTTGTTGACAAAAACTTCACTTTCAATCGAGAAGTTTTTAGAAAGTATAAAATCCTTTACGCAAACCTCGAGTTCAATAAATGTATTTTGTCCCACACAAGTCTAATGAAAATGATGATTTTTACGATCAAAACTAGATAGACTAGAGACGGAAGAACTATGATGCAGCACACGAAAAAAGATACAACACCATAGTGGTTCACGGGACTTTATGTCACTTCTTGCTGAAGTAAATGATAATCCAAAAGCTACTGCGTTAGATTTCCATGCCCACCGTGCACGGTTTCATAAGAAGAGGACCGTGGATGAGATCGACAACGAGCTGGAGTATCTTGCTCAAAACTAAGTATCAACTGTTCTGACAGGAGGTTTCGAAATGGATGCACTAAAAAGCAATCTATTTTGATTTTGAAATGGACTTGAGCTCTTAATCAACTCAAATAATTTTACATCTGAAACTTGTGTAGGTCAATTCTTAAACGGTTAAGAAAAATAAAAAATATATATTTGCAAAAGCCGTTTCAATCATTATTTATGTAAAAAATCAACATTCGCTTTCAAACATTGTTTATCGATTTCACAGTTAGGTAATATTATTTAATTTGAAAGAAAAAGCGTAAAGCAGTCAAATCTAATGATTAACTTACCTGCGACAATTTGGTTAAGGTACTGACCTTACCTGCGACAATTTTAAAATCGGCCTTCTGAAATCTTGTAAATTATTTGCCTCAAAGCGCACTATGATTAACAAGCACGAGTTATTGCTCTTGATTCACAAATTGAAAAAAAAACAGTAGACGAAACAAATGCGTTATAAAAATTATGGAAGGCAGACAAAACAAACAAGACTGCTCGTATCAGGGCGAAGCCCTGAATGTTCCGACTGCCTTTTAATGTTTAATAAAATGTAATTTAAATGAAAATTTTTTTTTCTAAAATTTGAAATTTTTTATGAAAATCATCCCCCCACACGCCATATAAAGTACAAAAGGATAAATTTCGCTCCTTGTAACAAATCAATTATGGCAAATAAGCTTCTTCCAACCAATTTGGAACGATTTCTAAGACGGATTAAATCTCCGCTTACGCGTTAATAGCGCGAATTATATCGCGCGTTAATTGTCCCAAATTGGTCAAAATGGCCAAAATGGCAATCTTTAAACCCTCATAACTTCACGAAAAATGATCACAGGTGAAATATCTTTTCAAATTTAAGCTGAAGACAACAATAGCTTTCGAATGATATAAAAAAAATCCGTCAAAAAAGGCTAAAAAGTCGAAATTTGTCTGAAGAAAAAAAACCCACCCCGAGCACAAATATTCCGTTACTTTCGTATCGAAAGTCGGAACAATAAAAAAATGAACTTAATTCAGAGGATCGTATAACTACAAAGTTACCAAAACTTTCTGAGTCTGATGAGTGTATGACACACTCGAGATAATCTTTATGAACATACATGAAATGAAAGCTAATTTTCATAAACTGCCAAAAAGGAAGTCAAACCATTACAAGGCTAGACAAATTAATTGAAGAGAATCTGTTTGCAGATCAAAACTGATCTAATTCAGACAAGGTCGACTAGAGATTGCTAACTAATTAAAAAGTCAGTAATAAATTGACTGGTACTTTGAGATATTTCAATTGCCATGTCATTCATGTTTATTTTCTCAATTTCTTCTTCAGCAATTACTAACTCTTCACAATCCTCAGTTTAAACCTCAGGATCAGCCTCAGTCTAGAGCAAGCCCTTTCTCCTAATTGCTGTAACTCTGAAACCTAACAAGTTAAGGGCACAGATTTCTAATTTTATTCTATTATTTTTGTCAAAATTTTCAGCTTTTAGCTAGAATCTTTTAGCAAGAACGGATTTGGAACTGGCGGCGTTCAGTGAAAATCCTAAAAATTGACCGGCTCGGTTGACAAAATTTGTGCCGTTGAATCTTGCCAAGAACCTGTTCAGGACAGTGATGCGTAATGATGAAAAAAGTTATACGAGCTAACACTGTGTGGTCCTACCTGGCTCTAGTGCTGAACAACGCCGATATGATATACATCAAAAATGACTGCGTTGGAACGCCGCTTTGATGTGAGAACAATGATGTCTCAAGAAAGGCTTGATATGGATAGAGGACTGGACATGGCCGCAGAGCCATGTAAGCTGCGAAGAAGAAGAAAGGAGTTTCACGTAGTGACTGCTAAGTGTGCGGTCTCAAGCGTCACCTGAAAGCAACTGCAATTCGAGTTGAACAAACTAGTGGACAATACCGTGCTCGAGACAGTGGGTCGAACAATGCAAGTGAGCCAGGAGCAAAAAAAAAGTGTGCTTCAACTGTAAGCAGCCTGGAATCTTTGCAATGGAGAGCAAGCAGACGAGGACAAGATTCTTCAATTTCTCTGCTACAATATTAAAGAAAAGAGACAACTTCTTTTTAGATACCGGGTGCACTGATCAAGTGGTGCACTAAATGGCTGCTTTTTCTAGCTTTGAAATCTGGAACAACCGTGGGGCAGCCTAACGGCAAGTTGTCAAGGATTGAGGGCAAAGGATCAGTGGAAATGGAAAGATAATGTGTGGAGTTACGCTTTTCACGAAGTGCTGTTGGAGCCGAGCTGCAAATATAACTTGATGATTATGAGTTCATCTGTGGTTAGAGGGTCAAGCTTCAGTTTTGCGGCAGATGGTTCACATCTGCTGGCATCAGATTTGAGATTGCAAGCTTTTCTTTCTGGATTGCAAGTTCAGGAGGAACCCGATGACTCTTGTGACGAAGAGAAAGAGGGATATCTATGATGCAATGCTGTGACACCCACGACTGGAGCAACTCAACAAGTAGGACTTTTCATCACTTGTCAATGTGGGCGACCTAGAGTTTTGAGAAGTCTGTAAATCGTTATTGCATGAATTGGCGGTGCCAAAGAAAACTGACTGCAGAGCATCGGCAATGAGGCAACGGGCCTTCAGTGAGATCCAGGCACTATTTGAAGCACCAAGCTTCGTCGACGACTTCCGTCTTCTGGCTGTGGTCAGCTACCTGAAAAAGAACAGCGATGCCCTTCTGAAGATCCAGGAGTTTGTGGCTGAACAGTGCGAACTAACAATGAAAGTGAGTATTCGGCAAATGCACTTAGAAGATTTGTACAGAAATCCAGATTAACCAAGAGTTCATTAAGCCTAAGACTCTTCAGCAGAAAGATGCAGCAGAGCGCTACAACCGATTAATCGCCGAGATGACTCGATGCCCGCTGGCCGAAGCAAAGCTACCGTCAGATGTGAGAATTCACTCGCCATATATCAAAGTTGAAAAAATCCATGTACTAAGCTAAGACATACTGTTGTAACGTTCAGGTGACAAGTGTTATAGTTTTGACAGCTATCGGTATGATTAACCAACCAAGCAAACTCTTTACTTCTACTCACAAAGGATTGACGTTTGTTGGTCTGGAAAAGAGAATATTATAATCACAGTTTAAATCTTTTTTTTAACCTTGTTAATCCAGGATTTTTTGACATCTCACTACAATCGATTGGTTTTATATCTTACATAATTTTTTTATTGCCATTTCATCTGGGAAAATAGTGGCAGCTCCCTTCTACTAGTTTTCTTTACGAAATATGTTTTTTTTCCGAAATGATCTCACGATTATATATTAAAAGCATGTTAGCATTCCCCACGGACTTGGTGAAGCAAAAAAGCGTTTAATTGAAAAGTTTTAAGAAGTCTTAATAAAACCTTTTGCATTTGACTTAAGGAACCAAAAATGTGAGCAAAAAATTTTATACAATTAATTCAACTAATCAAATCGTTTCAGCAAAATGTCAAATTTCTCCTAAGATATTTATTCTATTTATTCCTTGCTACGTTGAATTTCAATTCTCTTTATTATTATTCTTTCGAAAAATTTGAAAAACTTGCTTCATTTTTAAACAAAAATTTGTTTCAAAAAGTTCTGGTAAAATTTTACACTGAAAGAGATAATTTATTCGAATTTTTTCTCGCTGATGTTCTTATATTTTAATTTTTCTCTTTTTTACGTAAATTTTAACAGATTACTGCTAGAAATTGGTTACAGTGTTTATCAGTTTTTATCCACGATTTATTCAATGAATGATTACCTTAATCATTTTTCACCAAAATTTGCATTATTTTCCAGCAAAAATTTAGTTTTAAGGTAGTTAAACGGTGTTAATTTAAACAGACACATAAGCAAATAGCTGCATCGTATAATAAGTTTGTTGCAATAAATTAGATTTGCGACTAAAAACTCTGTAAAAAGTTTCTCTGGAAAAATTAAAAACAAGGAATGCTGCTTAATTTTCGTAAATTTAGAAGGTTCAAAATGCGGTCTCTCGCTTTTTACATGTAGTTTCAAAAGCCAGAGAAACCTAATTTATTTGCACAATTTTTATCGGCTCCCAATCAAAGAGGGAGTTAATTTTTAAAAAATTTCTTTTGTTTTTGAAT